AAAAAGTACAAAAGGGCGCTTGCTTGACCGCCAGTCGTAAGCATAGCTCAGTGCTTCCCAACCGAGGTAAACCGTGTGTTACTAAAAAGCTCATGAGGGGACTCCTTTGTTGTGTTTTTGTATTTCAAGCTGCTGGCAGCGCGTTCTATTCATGCAAAGTCATGCAAATTGTATTTGTTAAAGGCGCTAGTCTTTATCATGAGCTTTTGTTGTTGTAGCGCTATTTAAGCCGCTGCTTTTGCTGATTGTTTCACCTCACCTTTCCGTTGTCCTTCCTTAGCCAATTTCTGTGATTGTTATCTCAATGCTTCTTCACACATTTTACGGCTAAATTTTTCTCAATATTGTTATTATGTTTTACTTTGCTTCTTTATTTGTTTTTGCTTATTTACGACACCATGCTTTACATACACACACATACAAACACTCAATGCTCACATATGACGAGACATGGACATACACACACTCATACTCATGTGCTTTGAGATTAGCAACTGATTTAAATGAGCCTTAAATTTGTGGATTTGCTTATTGGCATTTAGAGATGCCGGACTCAGCGCTGCACGTTAAGCATGCAGTCATGCAAATCATGTTTTCGGTGCCGAAGGTGATTTTCTGGACACCTGAGCTGCGGGAGCAGTTCCTGCTGCTTCTGAGTCTAACAAAGTTTTACTTACATAAGGGGAAAGCCATTGGAATCTTACACTTTTGGACTAAAACTTGACTCCATATTGAAATAGTATTCACAAAGTTGCCAGATAGATTCGAAAATTGTGAAGCAATATTTAAGGAACAAAATGTAGTTTCATTATATTACAAGGGCCTATTCATTTCGTGGTCCTGATTTGTCACTACTGTTTCAGTAACATTTATAAAATATAATTGTCATCCAAGCATTAAATATTAAGTTTAAAACTTGTCATATTGAAGTATGGACTGTTTAACAACCGCTGAGCATTGTTAAATCATGAAAACTTGCTTAATGGATGTGAGACTTTGAGACTAATTTTTCACTTGATGAATTTTTCACTTAATAATAAAAATTATAATAAAATTAATAATATAATCATAAAATAATTAATAAAAAGAATTATTTCATCTGATATATTACAAATCAACAACACACCTACAAAAAGTCGCAGTTTGCTGCTGGTATATGATGTGGAGATGTGATAGGGTTTGATACAAACTGTCAATTCTGATTGGATATGGAAGATATTTTTAATAGGACAGTGTTTTTGTTTTAGCTTTGTTGCGTAAGAAATCTTCCGGGTATGTAATTTTACATTTTGATTATGTGTGTCGCATGCCAAGCTCATGAAAATTGTCACTACTTGGGTTTTCAGTTATGTAGTGTCATGCAGACAATCTGCTATTAACATTTTAATAAACTATTTAACAAACGAATATCCGAAAAGTCAAGAGGTACTGTAATGCATGTCTCTCTTATGTCCGCATTCATTACCTAATAGCAGTGTTCAAACAATGTATTAAAATAAAAATTTGATCGGATTTTAAATCATATGCGTTTTTATAATAAGCGAACCTTAATTACCTATACTTGCACAATTGAAAGTAAGCGTTTACACTGCCTTATTGCAATTGGCGATTTAGTTTCAATTAGGGAACAAAAAAAACAGAAAGAAATTCCAAGTATTATAGTTAAGAAACGAATTCGAAACGAAAATGAAATCAAATCAATCAGTCGGAAGACTCTTTCCTACCATTAACAACGGTTAAAATCGAATACAAAGGTGGCACTGTAGGGACATTATATATAAAAGCCTAAGCTTTCTATTCTATGTCTTGTTCGTCTGTTTATCAATTAAGCAAAGATTATTGTTCATACTCTCTTTAATGATATAACTCTAATTGATCTTCAATTCTTTCATCCGCACTTCATACTGAAGAATTATGAAAATCCTCTTGTTTTTTAAAATGTAAATTATTAAAATCATTCTCAACCTAATTTACTAATTGGTTTCGTTTTTAAGCATTCTCAGATGCCAATTCGTCGGCAATAGAACAGAAGGTACTCATAAATAAGACAGTCATATTTATTCAGGGCAGTGTTTAGAATGACACAATTTATTTAACAGATATGGATACTGTAGAAGATATAGCAGAAAGATCTTGGCTTACGTGATTACAAGATTTCAAGACCTAATTGATGAAAGAATTAAGTCCACATGATTATCGATTAGAAGGCGATCCACTTTTTTGTTTAACGATGAGATCACTTCTGCTTAAGTGACTTTCACAATACCTAAAATTTGTCTTATTTGATGTTACAGTAAACTAATAGTGATCCATCAGCTACCTATACTCGTATAAAAATCCATTCTTCGGTGTGATTTATGCAGTGGTGACGTAATTCGGTAATAGTTCTTAAGTACCGTCAATAGAGTTGGATATCAAATATATATTGAACAGGTTTTTGTTTTCAATTTTCTGAACACTTTGTAACTTCCACGGTAATTATGGAACTATTTAAAGAAGATTTCGACAATAACATAAATTACGGATTCTTTCTCGTTGCTTGGCTCATATGCCAAGTTATATAGTAAATATATGTTATCGCCTGTTGATAGGTTGTATATGAAGTTTATTAAAAATAAATAATGTCTATAAAATAAAATTAAATAAAGTGATATATTAATTTTATAAAAAAATATTTCATTATACCAAAAAATATTGAATCGCTATATATTAATAATATAAGAAATTTACTGGAATATTCAATGGAAAAAAAAATTTAGTTTTTTTATTTTAAAGAAATTATTTTAAATGAGTTTTTAAAATCTCAATAAAAAAAATAAATAAATAAAAGAGAATAAAGTAAAATAAAATAAAGTGAACTAAAACAAAATAAAATAAATTGAGATTAAGTAAAATAAAATAAAATAGATTCAGTTAAATAAAATATAATAAATAAAATAAAATAAAATAAAATAAAATAAAATAAGAGAAAACAAAATAAAATAAGAAGAATAGAGCAAAGTGAAATAAAATACAATATAAAGAATAAAAAGCCTTACTTCATTCTATAAAAAATAAAATGTTAAATAGGATAGACTGAAACAAAATAAAATAACGTAAAATAAAATAAGGTAAAGCAAAAAAAATGAAACAAAGTAAAATAATATAAAACAAAATAAAATAAAACAAAATAAAATAGAATAAATAGAATGAAACAAATAAAAACCAAATGAAATAAAATAGAAAGAATACAGTAAAACGAAATAAAATATAAAGAATAGAATAAAACGTCATAAAATATAATCAAATAAAATAGAAAGAATAGAATAGAATAAAGTAAAATGAAATACAACAAAATAAATTAGAATATATAGAATGAAACAAAATAAAAAAAAAAATTAAGATAATTTAAATTACTTGAATGTACAATAATTAATTGCATTATGCTGCTAAAAGGCAATATAATATTATAAACTATTTTTAAAATTGCTTAATTGTGTTTTTCAATAAACAAACACAACACATTTATCTAATCAACAAATTGGAAGCAAAAGTGCGCCTGAACTTACAGCACCGACAAACTTATAGCATGCGATAAAAAATATTGGTGACGTGCACCCCAAACACAAGTTCATTCATAAAATCGGCAAGCAAAGCTACACGTAACGTAGGACACACAGCTTACTTGCCTCCTTAGTTTAAGGCGCCAATTATTGTAAAAGTCAAAACCAAACAGCAACAACAGCAACAATAGCAACAACAGCAACAACAACAACATTAAACAAGTGAAGTGAAAATATTTAAATAAAAATTGCATAAAATTGTTTTGTGTTGTGCTGTGCTGTGCTGGCTTTGCTGGCTCGGCTGTGTTGGTTGTACGCTGAGTGTGAGTGCGCGGCACACATGTTCGAATCGAAACTCGAATGCATCAGGTTACGAAGCATTCCAAAAGAATTATGAAGAGAAAAAATTCATTTAAGAAGATAATTTAATGTGCGACAACACAGACATGTTCGAATGTGTTTATAAGCTACAATATTGGTATGGTCGCGTGTTGTTTTTGTTTGAGAAGGTTGCAACCGGCTTACGTTTTATACAATTATACTTTAATTGTTTGAGATATGGCTAGTGTTTGTTGTTGTTGTTGGTTGTATTGTCTGCTTACTTACTACATGACCAATACCGTAGTCGTCATCGGGCCAACAACAACATAACAAAAATACAGCAGAACCATCATTTTTATTAGCACCACCAACAACATTTTTGAGTTATGTTCGCATGACAAGCGGCTTTTATTCAGTCAGGAAACGACTTTGCTTGCTGGCGGATGTAAGAACGGAAAGCGAATAAATATAGTAGAGCAAAATAAGTAAAATGTACTAAAAGATAACATTGAAATATAGTTACGCTTATGAGAAAAAGATTTTAAGAAAGTGTAAACAAATTTAAAAAATTTTAAAAACTCATTTATTTAATCAAATTATATAAAAAATTATTTAAATTTAACAAGAGAAATTGTGTGTTTAGTGAATTTTGCCTGTTCAATGCAAATGCAACAATTGCATTTCGCTTTAAGCAGATAAACGCCATATGAAAGTATCTCACAGTACGAGTATCTTATCAGTGTTGAAAGTGCTCGAGTGCTAAGCTACTGGAAGGGCATTGATAAAATGCTGATTTAATGTGTAAAAAGAGTTTGTCATTGCTATACAATTTTGTCATCACAAAAATAAACAAACAAATATTACGAAATTTTATTATAAATAATAAATAAATTTTTTTTTATATTCTAAAAGAAAACAACTTTTGACAAAAATAAAATAATTCAGAAAATACAAAACAAATAGAAGTGTTAATTAAAATAAAAAAAAAAATTATTGCAAAGTGCGTTTTTTAAATGAAACAAATTGAAATTATTACATTGCAGTAAAATTTAAAAAATTTTAAAAAAAATATTCTGTCAAATTAAAAAAAAAATATTTTTTAAATAGAAATTTCCTAAAAAATCAAACTTAAATTTTAATAAATTTAAGAATAAAATTGTGAACTTTAAAAAAATATATTGTAAACATTTTGCTTGGAGCCTTCAAGCGCGGATTATCATTAAAGGATTTCCTTGGCTTTGTGTATAAACATTCGGCTTACAGAGCTCATCTCAAGTGTTACTAAAATAAAGAAAAATTTAATAAATTAGTTATTAAAACTTAACTGAATTAACTTGTTTCATTTGTGACAAGTTACAAACAATTTAACCTCGCCATGGCCAATACAAAATCCGAAAATAATAAAACGGAAAATCTTTATATGCAATTGAACACGTCGGAACTGACTGCCATCATCATGAAAGGTGAGCTTACTTACTTATTTACTTAACTTACTTAATTATTTACTTACCTACATAATTACTTACTTACTTACACACATACATACTTTCGTACTTATTCCGTAACTGGTAAGCTTAATTTCGAAGCGTGTTTTTAATCGATTCTAACGCAATCAGTTTGTCGTCTTCTCGTTTAATAACAATAATAAATAACTATAAATTATTTTATATAATAGATTAATTAAAAATTTTATTAAACAAAAAACAAAAGTGGAAGTAAATTGGCCTTAGAATAGACGTAAATATTAACGAACACACTTAAGAGACGTTCATTAATGCGTAAATCTTCTTATAAGATATATAATTGTTTGATAAGTAAAGCTCCAATCTAATAAAAAAATATTCATCCATACAAAAAAAAAATTAAGTCGTTATATATTGAATATATATCATATTGAATTTGTGAAAATAATCAATAGAACAAAATAAAATTAAGAAAAGGAATTTTTTCTCAAATTTATATTTTAAAAAATTTAATTTCTATTCAAATTTTTGAAAATTTTATATTTTTGAAATTAAATTTAATAATTACAAAATTAAAATTATATTTATTAATTTTAAAAATATTGGAAAATTTTTATTATTACATTTTTAATAAACAATTTTTATTATTAAATTTTTGTACTTAGAATTTTTATTTTAAGATCTTAAATTAAAATTGAAAGTTTTTAAAATGAAAATATCTAAAATTGAAAGTTTTTAAATTAAATATATTCAAAGTTAAAAATATTTAAAAATGCAAATATTAAAAACTGAAAACTTTGAATTAAACATAATTAAAATTGCAAATATTTAAAATTGAAAATATTTAAAACTAAAAAATTTTAAATTAAAAATATCTAATACTAAAAATATTTAATATTAAAAATATTTAAAATTAAAAATATTTAAAAATGCAAATATTAAAAACTGAACATTTTTGAATAAAACATAATTAAAATTGCAAATATTTAAAATTGAAAATATTTAAAATTAAAAATTTTTAAATTAAAAATATCTAAAACTAAAAATATTTAATATTAAAAATATTTAAAATTAAAAATATTTAAAATTTAAAATTTTTATTAAACTTGATATACAAAAAATTTTAATTTTAGTTAAATTAAAGAAATTATTACAAATATTTTTTTAAGAATTGAAAAGAAAATTAAATGCTTAATTTAACGTCTTCAGTTTCAATTATAATACAAAGAAATTCTCTAGAATCCATTTAGACTTCTTGAAATAAATTAGAAGAATTTCTCCAATTTTCAATGTTTCAAATCTAATTTAAGTATGACTTCGGGACCATATGTTCCACTAAGATTTTATTGATGGAAGAAAAATATTTATTATTCTCTTAGGAACGTCAATACATAAAAAATTTTTGTAATTTTCTAAACTTTAAACTTTTTCAAATAATTTGATTAAACTATAAACTATATGTTTGAAACTCCCTGATTACTATAATCCGATTTCAACCGGAAGTTTTTACAATCTATTACCTATTTCTTACTTCAATAAGGTAAGGTAGAGTACCCCAGAAGCTGAAGTACTGACATTATTAGGTAAATATTGTCACTGCTCTGAGATTTTTAGTAACTCAAGTACCCAGAAATAATTCTATAAATCGTCTTTTGAGACTTAGAAATATTTTCAACATATTAAAACAAATGATAATGATATGAAGGGTTCTGAACTGAACACTAAACTGGGTTCAGTCTTCTTCTAAATACTAAACAACGTTTGAAATGTGTTTATAAAGCGAACCCGAAAGTTACAGAATTTTAAAAAAATTATAAAAAAAGTTACGAGAAGAACAAAATGTATAATTTTTTACAGAATTTCTAGAAAGAAGACGGCTGTAGAAGTAAAGTCAGTAATAGTATACATTATATTCAGCAAATAATAACATTTAAATAAAGAAAATTTTTTAAAAATCAAAAATTTCTCAACGAGATATATTCTGGTCTTCGTCTGAAAGTCTGCATGGCACTTATGCGTTTCAGTGTTAGATGTTAACACAGGAGATATTCCATAGCAATGCTTTGTTTCAATAGAAACTTAAGTTTATAACGTTTTTCATTATATTCTATTCTATTATATCTATTGCATAGTCTATTGTAGCTTTAGCAAAGTAGAATCTAAATTTGAATACCCTTAAATATTTTCATCTGTTTAAGGATTCTTATTACTTAGAGCATTTATGGGACTAAGATTCAATTGTAAGTTGAGTCTTAGCATTAGTGAAATGCTAACTCTGCTGAAAATAGTGCTCTAATTAAGCAAACTAAAACGCGTTACAACACTAAAAAGTCTAAGTATTTTGCGCAAAGTTAAAAAGTTAATATTGTTTTAGTGCAATGTATGGTATATGCAGTAGTAAATGTTCTTGTTTTAATATAAACTTTAAAATACGTTTAAAATATTAATATAAAATTTAATATTTTTCTTTAATTAAAATAATTTATTAGTTTTTTGTCACTATCTCGAATATCGCTTGATTAACTTTTGTAAATGATATATTGGATGCAATCTATTCATAGACTTACTTTCTACTTTTGTTATCGTCACATTTGCAATCTATATTTATTTAATTTTCATTACATTCAGTGGCGTATACGAGGGTAGAATTGGGGGTTTTAAACCCGATTTAATGATTTTTTATATGAACTGTGAATTAGACCTCTATATTCGCTTTTGATTGCATTATTATATACAATAAAGCATGACTAGCGTACTTATACTAGTTAATTAAACTTAGTTAATAACGAATATTTAAATATTATATGTAAATTTTTTAATAATTTGATATATATAAATCATATTTATATATATTGGCTTTATATAATATAAAATAAAGTTTTTATAATATTAATAAAATTTATGTAAAATTGAAAGGAATGCAATATATATTAATTTAAAACGTAAGCCCAATAAATTATTTCAAAAATCGCAAAAATAACGGGTTTTCAAGACGTACAAATGTCCATAGCGGACGGACAGACATTACAGTAGCTGCTTGTTATGTAATGATAAGCCTATAAAATTAATTATATAACGGTACAAAATCATATATAAAAAAATTTCTTTTTTAACGGGTCGTATGTTTAACACATAGAAATGATAAAAAAATTACACTTATTAGTTTGTTTCAAATATTTTATTTATAAAATAAAATAAATTAATTAAATTAAATTAAATATATATAAAAAAATATATATATCGAATATAAAATATATTTGTATAAATATATAATATAATATAAAAAAATGTATATGTATTTTAAACTTATTTTTAAATTTAAATTTTTTATTTTTAGTTTATGTATTTATGTTTATAAACATATAAAAATTGCTATTTGTTTTACAACATAATTCAAATTAATATTAATTATAATTAGTCTTCCATTTTGTTTTAGATACATTTTGTAAATGCAAAATGCGCTATAATAGATATGTTTTTAATCTAACAGAATAAAAGTTATAAACAGCTGGACTGTAAGTTATTTAGGCACATATTTTACATATCAATGTAAACTACAGATAGTATAGTGCCAAAAAACAAATTCCCCATATTATATTCAATTCCTTGGCATAGTTTTGTTTATGCTACCGGAAGAGACAGTTGTACTCTACAGGTTATGTGTTCCATTGTGCGTTCTCTGCAGAAAGTTTTAATGAGATCCTAATTTAACCTGGAGAGAGTGACATTATTCATTTATTTCAAGAATATTTCGTGGTTCAAGATACCAGTATACATTCTGTATAATAAAAGTCACATGGATGTATCCAATTCATTTTCCAACAATCGCAGAGTGAGTACAAATATTAAACACGGCTAAAGAATTTACGCTATAGGTGAACAACCTTTAGGTTACATAGATATGAATCTAAGTCTATTTAGACTGAGGAACTTGTCACTATTGTGTAACAAGTGGTGTAAACACTAGTTTCATTTAGTGGAATTAGTCGTTGGTGTAGAGATATATCTCATATAACTGACAGATATATATATCCAATGTCTGTCATAAAAGTAATTAGAGTGAAATACATGTAGATCAAAGTACATTAGTTTACATAGATCTAAATCTAAGTCTATTTAGACTGAGGAACTTGTCACTATTGTGTAACAAGTGGTGTAAACACTAGTTTCATTTAGTGGAATTAGTCGTTGGTGTAGAGATATATCTCATATAACTGACAGATATATATATCCAATGTCTGTCATAAAAGTAATTAGAGTGAAATACATGTAGATCAAAGTACATTAGTTTACATAGATCTAAATCTAAGTCTATTTAGACTGAGGAACTTGTCACTATTGTGTAACAAGTGGTGTAAACACTAGTTTCATTTAGTGGAATTAGTCGTTGGTGTAGAGATATATCTCATATAACTGACAGATATATATATCCAATGTCTGTCATAAAAGTAATTAGAGTGGAATACAAATATCTTAAGAGGTATTTTTGTTATTAAGTGAAATAATCACAATATTTGCCATTAACCGAAGTAATAGCATTTAGTAAGGAAGAAAATAATTCGGTAAGCAGAAGTTTAAGAAGTTTAAGAAATATGGCAACCGCACATGCCAATAAATTCTGAAACCTGTCAGCCACAATTTTTGCAAATCTGTGCAAAATGCATAAAACCTGCTAAACTAATTTTTTTATTTTACTTTTTGCATACTCCTTGAAAAATTTTGTCGTATTTTTTCTTTTTCTTGACTAATAAACTTGTTGCTTCAGAACGAACAAAACTTTAACCCTTTCGGGGTTTTTTGTTTTTGGCAAACTTTGTTGCATTCAGAAAATCGAGAGGCAAAGTTTGCTTTCCAAATTCTTGTGACTTCTTCTCCTTTTTTTTTTTAATTATTTATTTTTTGTTTTGTAAATAATTCTTTATTTTTAAAATTCTTATTTTTTGAAATTTTTTTAAAAAGTTTTGTTTTTCAATTTTTTTTTAAATGTCATGTTTTTTTTT